TGCCAATCCTCCTCTTTTTGCTGAGGAAGACTGGCCCTGGGCTAACATCCATGCCCATCTTCCTCCACTTTATATGGGACACCGCCACAGCATGGCTTGACAAGCGGTGCATTGGTGTGCACTCGGGATCTGAACCAGCGAATCCCGGGCCGCCGCAGCAGAGCACGCGCACTTAACTGCTTGCACCACCGGGCCGGCCCCTAAATTTGTTTTTTTAAGAAGCTGATACCATTTATAGAATAAACAGTAACTTTGGAAATATCAAGAGATAAAGTTTGTAAAGACTTTAGATTTTTCAGTTAAGGTCCTCTGATTTTTTAATGGAGGGGGAAATATCAAGTCTTCAAAAGAAAAAAAAAAAACTTGAAAAAAAAAAGGAAAGTAGTGCCATCTTCTTGGCTTATGTACAGACCTTCCGTCTTTGGCCACTTTACTCTCCTGATCCACAAGGGTGGGCCAGAGCCAGATCTAAGTTCCTTCCATGGGAACTTGAAATGGGGAGAAAGAGAGACTACAGTGCCACCTGTGTTATAAATCATGTCTATATATGTGTGGGTCTATTTTCGAATTCTTTTCCACTTATATGGACTAGTTGTTTATTGTAGTATCAATACCACAATGTCTGGGGCCGGCCCTGTGGCGTAGCGGTTAAGTGCACGCACTCTGCTGCTGGGGACCCGGGTTCCGATCCCGGGCGCACACTGAGGCACCGCTTGTCAGGCCATGCTGTGGCAGTGTCCCATGTAAAGCGGAGGAAGATAGGCACAGATGTTAGCCCAGGGCCAGTCATGCCTTCCATGAGGATTGGCATGGATATTGGCTCAGGGCTGATCTTCCTCAAAAAAAAAGAAAAAAAAAAAACACAATGTCTTTTTATTTATTTATTTATTTATTTATTGCTGAGGAAGATTCACCCTGAGCTAATATCTGTTGCCAATCTTCCTCTTTTTGCTTGAGGAAGATTTTCCCTGAGCTAACATCTGTGCCGGTCTTCCTCTATTTTGTATGTGGGTCGCTGCCACAGCATGGCCACCAAGTGGTGTAGGTCTGCCCCTGGGAACTGAACCCGGGCCACCAAAGTGGAGCACACCAAACTTAACCACTAGGCCACGGGGCTGGCCCCAATACCACAATGTCTTAATTATGGCTACTTTAAAACAAGTCTTGGCCGGCCCTGTGGCTTGGTGGTTAAGTGCGCGCGCTGCGATGCTGGCGGCCCGGGTTCGGATCCCAGGTGCGCATCAAGGCACCACTTCTCTGTCCATCCTGAGGCCGGGTCCCACATACAGCAACTAGAAGCGTGTGCAGCTATGACATACAACTATCTACTGGGGCTTTGGGGGCAAAAAATAAAATAAATAAAATCTTTAAAACAAGTCTTGATATTTGGTAGTGTCTTCGCACTTTAAGAGTATTATATCAGTCAATGTTTGATCAGATAAGTACATCCACTATGAATAATGTAAAATAAGAGATTTATTATAGGGATTAGCCGTTATGCTAATGTAGGAGCCAATGGAAAAATCTGTGCAAGGCTCTTTGTTACCTGTGTATCTGGTATTGGGTCTTGAAGTCTGCCGGGCCAGAAATTAGGAAGAGCTGGATGTGAGGTTGAGGAAAATGAGGATGAACCCATAAGGACAAACTGGGGCAATTGGATATCCATTTGGGAAAAAAAAATATATATATATATTAGCCCCTAGCTCACGACATACAGAATACAACATACAAAATAAAATTAGTTTGAATGTTATGGATCCAAATGCAAAAGGCAAAAGAATAAAACTCCTAGAAGGTAGTGTAGGAAAATATATTTGTGACATCAGCATAGGAACACTGAACATAAAAAGCATTAACGACAAAGGAAAAGATTGATATATTGGATTATATTAAAATTAATAACTTACGTTTATCATAAAATACCATTAAAAAGAGTGAAAAAGCAAGCCACAGAGTAGGGGAAATTTTCAACATGTATAATTGACAAAGGTCTTATATCCAGAGACAGACAACCCAATATAAAAATAGGCAAGAGGGGCCAGCCCGGTGGCGCAAGCGGTTAAGTGCGTGCGCTCCGCTGCGGCGGCCCGGGGTTCGCTGGTTCGGATCCCGGGCGCGCACCGACGCACTGCTTGGCAAGCCATGCTGTGGCGGTGTCCCATATAAAGTGGAGGAAGATGGGCACAGATGTTAGCCCAGGGCCATCTTCCTCAGCAAAAAAAAGAGGCGGAGTGGCGGATGTTAGCACAGGGCTGATCTCCTCACAAAAAAAAAAAAAAAAAAAAAAAAACAAAAAAAAAAAAAAAAAAAAAAAAAAAAAAAATAGGCAAGACATCTGAATAGGAACTTTACAAGAAAGGATATCCAAATGGCCAATAAGAATATGAAGGTAGGGGCTGGCCCCGTGGCTTAACGGTTAAGTGCGCGTGCTCCGCTACTGGCGGCCTGGGTTCGGATCCCGGGCGTGCACTGACGCACTGCTTGTCCGGCCATGCTGAGGCCGCATCCCACATACAGCAACTAGAAGGATGTGCAACTATAACATACAACTATCCACTGAGGCTTTGGGGAATAAAGGAGGAGGATTGGCAATAGATGTTAGCTCAGGGCTGATCTTCCTCACAAAAAAAATATATATATATGAAGGTAGTTGACCTTATTAGCCACTAAGGAAATGCAAAATAAAACTCATAATGAAGATAACTAAAATTCAACAGATGAACTGTTAGCAAGGATGTGGAAGAGCAGGCATTCTCACACCCTGCTGGTGGCAGTGCAAACTGATTTGAGGGCCAGCCCAGTGGCGTAGTGGTTAAGTTCACGTACTCTTCTTTGGCAGCCTGTGGTTTGCAGGTTCAGATCCTGGGTGCGGACCAATGCACTGGTCATCAAGCCATGCTGCGGTGGCTTCCCATATATAAAGTAGAGGAAGATTGCCACAGACGTTAGCTCAGGGCCAGTCTCCCTCACCAAAATGAAAAAAGGAAAACAGTTTGACATTACTTACTAAAGTTGAACATGCGTATATCCAAGGATTTAGCAATTTTTTTCCCTACAGACTCAGCAGAAATGCCTGCACACGTGCACCAAAACACATGAACAAGTATGTTTAGAGAAGCACTATTTTTAATAATTCCAAGCTGAAAATAATCCAACAGTAAAGAAATCCATTGTGCTGTATTAACTCCATGGAATAGTACGTGGCAATGAAAAAGAACAAATTACGGTTACACACAACAACTTGTAAGAACCTCACAAGCCAAGCACAAAATAATACATATCATATTTTTCCATTTATATAAAATAAAAAACAGGCAAAACTGATCCAGGCTGTGAAAGTCAGTTTAGGGTTAAAGTCAGCTTAGGGTTATCCTTGGGGGAGGTAATAACTGGAAGGGGGGCATGATGAAGTGCTTCTGGGTTGCTGATAGAGTGGTGTATTTTGATCTGGGTGCTGGTTACATCGGTGTGTTCATTTTGTGAACATTCAGCATGCTATATACACTTATGGTATGTGAACTTTTCTGTATGGATATTTTTCTTCAATAAAAAGTTTTAAAAAAATAACAGAAAAGACTAAACTTAACGTTCAGGGATACAAGCTCAGGTTGTGTCTTTATATAGGAAAACAAGAAAGGGATTATCATCAAATTCAGGTCATTATCAGACAAATGCCTGTGTTACACAATGTTATATGTCATCAATTTAAAAAAAAAAGACCTAAAAAAAAAGTGCCCTGCAGTTGGTGGGGAGACATAGAGTGGTAATTGGAGGAGGCATGAAGGAACTTCTGGGGTCCTGGCCATGTCCGTACCTTGACTTGGGTGGTGGTTATTTAGATGTTTACTTTGTGATCATACACTGAGTTGTTAAATGGTGTGAACAGCCTTCTCCCACCCCCTCCCAACACTCCCCACTCTCCAGTTCTGTTCTCCCAGCAACCATTTTCAACACTTTATTATAATTATTAGTATTTACTGGTATTTTCCCACATATTTCTTTTTTTAAATTAATTATTTATTTATTTATTTATTTTTTCCCCCAAAGCCCCAGTAGATAGTTGTATGTCATAGCTGCACATCCTTCTAGTTGCTGTATGTGGGACGCCGCCTCAGCGTGGCCGGAGAAGTGGTGCATCGGTGCATGCACCGGGGTGCACGATCGAACCCGGGCCGCCAGTATCGGAGCGCACGCACTTAACTGCTAAGCCACGGGGCTGGCCCCCCGCATATTTCTAAATAATATCTCTAACTGCCAGCT